TTTTTTTTTTTTTTTTGCTTAAAGAGGTGAAAATAGTTTTAGAGGGGACAACACAAACGAGGCATCTAAATTCAGTTATATTCCTCTTGCGGTGGTGTGGCTGTTGAAAATCTCAATGAATCCATTCTGTTGTTTTCCTTTTATTATTCCCTGGTTATTGGGAAGCACTTAACAAAATAAAGGTTTAAAATCATTTTTCTGTAACTAAATAAAGGAAAGCCTGATTCCACAAGGCTGGAATTTTTCTTAGAAAAACAAATGCTCTGTAAATATTAACTCGTCAATACTACAGAAGAAATTGTAAAAGATCTGAACAGAGATGCCTGCAAAGAAACACCATTTTCAGAACAACACGGGACGGTGAGCTATGATGATTCAGGTTCTGTCTTCATTTTTTGATACAGTTAATGACAGTTCACTCACATATCCCTCCGTAAAATGCATTTCTAAATCTCCGGACAGAAACTATTTCCCTATTCTCATACACGAGTAAAAACAGAAAGGAACCTACTCTGTGTGTGCGTGTGTGTGCGCTTAAAGTTAAGGGTATGAGAACAGGAGTTAAAATATGATAGAATCCCTTTTTTTGCCTTAGGTCTGGGTGCTTGTAGGAGACAGAAATAGAGAAGGAACCCGAGGTTTTCCAGCAACCCACAGGCGTTGATACTCATTTAAAAATAACTAGGGAAAAACACTCCCCAGAGCAAACCATGAGCTCCTCCCTGTGAATCGCCTGGGAACCCGGGAGCCAGGTCCCGCTTGGGTACCACTCGGCAGGGGTTCCCCTCCCCTTCTCCCCACAGGCCCTGCAGGAGGGATGTGACAGGGGCGGTGGATCCGGGGGTGCCAGGGAGGAGACGCCCTCCCGCCCCAGGAGAGGAGGTGGCGCTGGCCTGGGAGCCGCCCCTCCCTACGCCGGAGAACAAACGGGATATTCAGCAGTGGCCTGTGGCTGCCAGAGCAACTCCTAGGGGGAAATGAAGCGTAGAGTCAGACTGCACCGTACTCACTTTTAAAAGAGCCCCCACCCCGCCTGCCGCGCACACCCGGATACTTGGGCTGCCCCGCGGCTGTGCTAGGGCGAGCGAGCCGGGCTGGGTGCGGGCCAGGGGCCGGGGTTTGTGCGCGCGGGTGCGGGCCGTGAGCCTGGGTGCGTGCGGACCGGCGTGTGTCCCGGTGCGCGCGCCGGCGTGGGGACGAGCGGCGAGCGTCTACACCGGCCATGAGGGGCGCGCGCGCCTGGGCCCGGCTCTGCCTGCTGCTGGCCGCCTCCGCCCAGCTTGCGCGGCCGCAGTCCCCGGAGAGGTAACGCCGCCCCGCCCGGGCTCTCTCTCTGCTTTCTTTCCGCCCTCTGTCCCGGCAGCCTAGCGGCTGCTTCTCTCAATCCGCTGCGGGGCGCGTGGAAGACCGTGCGCGTTCCCCGGGCTCGGGCGTCCGGCGCCCCCGCGCGGGCCGCTCCCAGGAGCCGGGGCCGCGCCTGCCCACGGGGCCCCCCATGCGCCCGCAGCGCTGCCTGCCCGAGGGCCGGCCGCCCGCGCGGCCACCACGTGGCGGGGCTTATCTGACCCGCGGCTCCTCTCCCCGAAGGTTTCTGCGGGCGGAGGGAAGCACTGGGGCCCAAATATGTGAACTTCGGTTTACTTCTGTTTCCCAGCCCCGGAGAGGATTTGCCCGAAGACGTAAGCCTGGGGAAAAAACCCGAGTGGCGTGGCGCCCTGGGGGCCACTCACCGAAAGTTAACTCTTCGCCAACCTCTGAACTGCCGCCTGGCCCCAGACCTGGCAGGGGGACTTGCCCTAAGGCCAGCTTTGGCATCTCCTCGTCCACCTCCACCACCATCAGCCTTCCTTTTCAGTGGGAGGCTCTGCCAATGGCCAGCGATTTTCAGAATAAAGGAAGAGAACTAGGTATTTCTCCAAATGCAGGAAATTAAAACAGCTAATTAACCAATTGCTTGTCTAGCTTTAAAATCATGCACCTCACATAGCCAGCTCACACCCTCTCTCACTCCCTCCAGTTACATTTTTCCGTTTACCATTTTCCTATAGGATCTTACCAGTCCGTGGAGGACTTGCTTGCATATGGATGGATGGATAGATCGACTGATCTTGTGTTATTACGATACAGACAGATGGCAGCCGCACCGAATCCTTCATCAGGCTATAATTTAAATAGAATTCTAAGATCTAGCAACTATTTAAAATCCCTCATCTGGTGGTGCAGGCATTTATTAATCAATATTAACGGTGTCCATATTAATGGACTACACCTTTCTAAAGCTGACGTTAGATTGTGAGACCCTGTTTTAAATTAAGTTTCCTTTGCTCTATTTTCCCAGGCCTGTTTTCACATGTGGCGGCATTCTTACTGGAGAGTCTGGATTTATTGGCAGCCAAGGTTTTCCTGGAGTGTACCCTCCAAATACCAAATGTACTTGGAAAATCACAGTAAGCATTTTTTTCTTAAGGGTATTCTCTTGAAGTGTGTTTTGGAAACAGGAAGGCTGCTTGCCTTTTCTTTCTGGGGTCAGGATTTGAGTCAGAGCAAATGCTTGAAATAGTGAAACATTGGATTTACCTCAAATTTTGGGAGATTTTTATTAATAGAACAAGTGGTGTCCTGCATAAGCGATTAGAAAGGGTGCTAGATAACACTTGAAAGAGAAAACTCTTAAAGCAGATGTGTTTCTGAAAACCCAGCTTAACTGTTGAGTGTCATGGATTCAAAATTAAGGCTATTTCCAGTCAAAGGCCTGTTGTGATGACTTTTAGAAGCTCTCTGTTGCCTGGGCCTTGCATAAATGTCTCCCAGTGGGAAATAGAAGATCAAAGGTAGTGCTCAGCCCTGACTATTTACACCCATAGGGGGGGAAGGGGAAAAGAACAAGGCAAAAAAAAAATCTCACTTAATGTTCCTGACTTGAAACCAGCACTAAAGGCAATTCTCTAAAAATAGAGAATCATAATAACTGAGGGGGAGGAAAGCCTAGATATCAAGCAAAGGCTCCTAAAATGCCCATGCTGGTTAGCATGGCATACGGTATGCTGAGTCAAGATAAGTCAGAGTTATAGAGACAGACAGTTTTTTTGAAAAAAAGTCTGGATTTAGAGTCATCTAGACTGACTCATCTTTCCTGTCACCATAGTAGTGACTGTTATCTTCTTCATTTTTTCATTGTTGGGAAGTGATTTGGTCATTGAACACGTTGGTTTGCTGAGAGCCTCAGTCAGGTTGTGCCACTCACTGAGCTTCAGTCTTATTGGGCACGTACTATGTGCCAGGTATTGTGCTAAGTAGTTAACAAGCATAATTTATTTTACTGCATCCTTGAAATCACTCTGAGAGAGTAATTATTATTATCCCCTTTTTATAGTTGGGGAGGGAAGGTGAGGCCTAAAAAAATTACATAAATTGACTTGATCAAAAATTTGTTTAATCTGCTGTTACCCAACTACAGTGAAATTTATTCTGCAATGAGGCATTCCCACCAAGAAGTTTTTTGCCAGGTCAAATATGAGGGGTCCCCCTCCCTAATACAAAACATGGCTCCTATATGCATTGATGCTCTCCTATAAAATACTATCTGATGAACAGTACAGATTTTATTGTTATTGTAACACATGGGGCCAAGAGAGAGTAAGTCATAAAAAACAGCTTTGAAATATTGATAGTATCCTAAACGTGAAGTATAAGGTTCGAAAACAAACATGTAACTTGGTTTTTGTATGAGAGGTGTTTTTAAGTGACTATTAGTTAAAAAACGATCCAAGGAAATTAGTGATTAAGAGGCATTATGCACCTAACAAGTAGAAATTCATGGCTGGCCACGTGTTTTTGGTATGGCATCAAACTTTGATGCAGGGGAGGGTGTCCAGGGAAAGTTTTTCCTTGGTAAAGGAGTGGTGTGCCTGAGGGGAGGTCTGACTCCCTCACTCTTCTGTGTGTCTGGGGGAAATATGATAGATGTTCTATTTGGATGCAGCGTAAAAGTGAGGCCTGTGGGCTTAGATTTCCCTGGGTTCAAATTCTTGTTCCAGCATTCATAAGCTGTGTGACCAGGGTTTATCTTCTTTAAACCTCAGGATTACTGTGAAGATAACATGAGACAGTACATATAATGCCCTTCAGCTCAGTGCCTGGGATATAATAAATGCTCGAAAAATGTTAGCCACACTTACCATTTTCATTACCCTCATTATTGTAGGAATGGACTTGTCCTTCCTTCTGACCCACAGGCAATATGGCAGATCACTGCCACCCCCTCACCACACTGGCTGAGCTGGGCTTGGCATTAGCTAAAAACAACTTGGACTTATATGAAACGATCTACTTTGTCATTTGTCCCTAGAAAGAACTTATTTCTGTGCTTGACTTCTCCTGTATTCTCACTGGAGAGATTCCATGTGCGTTAGGACTAGGTTGGCTCCCAGTAACAGAGACCCGATCTCAACCCGATGGCTCAAACAGAAGTTTGATTCGCTCTCACGTAAAGGAAGCTAAAGGTAGACAGTCCAAGATGGGTGTGACAGCTTCAAATCATTATCTCTTTTATCAACTGGGGAAAGAAGGGAAAGCAATCAGAGGACAAGCAGTATCTGTGACATATTTGTGATTTGCCCAGACTGCCTAAACTCATAGTCATGAATTTGAGTAGCAAATGCCAGGCTCTTTTGAAAAAAGCATATTTTTAGAAAGCATAGATAATGCAGAAGAAAGGACTAAACAATTTGCTTTTCCAATTAAAAGTTTTATATTTTTCCATCTTAACTGGTTAAGTTTATTCTATTCCAAGGGGCTGCCTCCTTTATGTTTGCATATGAGTGGCTACCAGGACCTTCCAGATGAGCCCAGCACATTCTCTTGGTTGTAATTACAGCCTCAGCAGAGTGTTCATAAAGGCCCTGGGTGCTTTCAGGGGCTCACTGTGACAGCATCTTTATTCCCTTATATTTCACAAGGAATAGGACTAATTCAGTTGTAAAAATCTTACCAGTTCTTTATAGACCTCTGCTCTGTCAGAGTAGCAGAAGAGAGCTCCCCAGCTCCGGTAGCCCCTGCGGGGGTTAATACAAAGGAGAACGGTGGTAGAGCCAAAGCTGGTGGCCATGAGGTCCCTCACTCATGGAATGAATGTGTGTTCAGTGCTGGTACTGTTTGGGTCATGACGGCAAACAGGGCAGCCAGTCAGGCTCTTGGCCCTCGTGCAGCTAGCACTCTGGTTTGGGGAGACAGGCAGTTAATGCTTAAACAAACAGGTGAACATGAAAATATTGGGTAGTGGTAAATGTGTTATAACAATAAAAGATACCACTTCACATCCATTAGGATGGCTATTATAAAAAACAAACAGAAAACACCAAGTGTTGGCAAAGATGTAGAAAATTTGGAATCCTCATGCATTGCTGGTGGGAATGTAAAATGGTGCAGCTGCTGTGGAAAACAGTATGGCCTTTTCTCAAGGAATTAAACATAGAACTACTATATTGCCAATAATTCTGCTTCTGCATATAGACTCAAAAGAAGTGAAAGCCTGGACTTGAACAGATACTTATATGTCTATATTCCTGGCAGCATTATTCACAATAGCTAAAAGACGGAAGCAACCCATACACCTATGCACAGATAAATGGATAAACAGAATGTGATTGTAACCTACCCAGGAACATTTTTCAGCCTTGAAAAGTAAGGGAATTCTGACACATGCTGCAACATCGATGAATCTTGAAGACATCGTGCTAAGTGAAATAAGCCAGTCATAACAGAAAAAATATTATAGGATTCCACTGATATGTGGTATCTAGCGTAGTCAAATTCATAGATAGAAGGTAGAGTGGTGGTTGCCAGGGGCTGGGGAGGGGAGAATGGAGTTAATAGTTAATGGACACAGAGTTACATTTGGGGAAGATGAGAAACTTCTTAGTGGTGATGGTTGCACAACAGCATCAGTGTACTGAATGCTATGGAACTGTACACTTAAAGTGGTTAAAATGGTAAATGTTATGCTATATATATTTTACCACAACAAAAATATTTTTAAAATAAAATAACACAGGGCAGTGTAGGAGACCCATTGGGAAGCTACTGCGGTACCAGGAAGAGAAGACAATGGAGTGGACAAGGGCTGTAACAAAGGTGATGGAGAGACGTGGACTCCTCCACCTGGAGCCTTCGTGTTAGCAGTTCTGAATGCAGTTAGGCAGCAGTGGCCCCAGCTGCGAGGCCAGAACACCAGGCGCTGGACCCTCGCTTGGCAGCTGCTCCAAATGGGACAGTGGTCAGGGCGGCCTCACCGGAGTCAGTCTATCAAAGGCTTTCCCAGAGTCAGTGGACCCACTGCATCTTCCTCTCCTGCAGTCAGTAGACCAAGAATAGAGTTTCCACTGGATAATTCAGTATCACCTTTATTGAAACATCAGGGAGACCCCTCAAGATGGAAGAGCTTCAGAGTAGCCCTCAAACTCGAGTTCCTGTGGCTGAAGAGAAAATATTGTGCCCCTCACCGCTCACCTGCCACATTCCACTCTTCCAGACTGGAGACGTGTCCCAGCGAGGTCACTTTCACCCCAAAAACGTTTTCATTAAACTGTATCTTATCAGTGGGGATTGGAGAGTCTGATGTTAGCATGTTTGCTTTGGGAAGGGTGAATACTAGCTGTACAACCAAACTTTCTAGCCAACTGTATTGAACATTCTGGAATCGAAGTACAGCCTGCAGACTGGAAATGTAGATTTGTCTCTAAATTATAGTACTTTAAAATTTTTGTAGCTCTTTCTTGGATAACTGTACTGTTCAATACACTATCCTCATTGGCTATTTAAACTTAAATTAGTTAAAATGAAATAAAAAATTAAAAATTCCATTCCTTATTCACACTAGATGTATTTCCAGTGCTCAGTAGCCTCATGTGGCTACCATATAGACAGTTTATAATATGAATATTTTCATCATCTCAGAAAGTTCCTTTGAACAGTGCTGTTCTAGAGAATTTTTGAGGTTAATTTTACTTGTGAAGATATGCTGAGCATGCAGGCACTTCATGCTGCTCAGTTGTACTTCTGCTTTGCAGACGGGGAAGCTGACGCTTGCTCTCTGTAGTATTGATGCTGTGACTGGACCTCAAGCCTTTTGACTCAGCTTTATCTTCTGGCCACCAAGCCAGTGTCCTCCAACTAGTCTTAGATATTGCTGAGTGTATTCTCAAACATGTACAGTTAGTGATTAAATCAGACAATTTGTGGGTGAAGAAATTATTAAATATTTTCTAGTCCATGATGGGGTTGAGGGTTCCTTAGTTTCCCGTAAGTGTTGATTTTCAGGATTGTAGCCTGAGAAGCATCTGCGTAAAATACCTAGTCTAGGTGTGTGTCAGTGGCAGGGGGAGTTCCTAAGTATAATTTGGCAGCTAAGGTATGTATAATCGTTTAGAAGATGGTGGCTCGTTCTCTT